TTGTGGAATCCCCTCCAGTCTGTAGTATTTGTTATGGCAGCCCAATATACAATTCCATTTTAAAAGTACTCCCTAGGGGTGCCTGGGTGGCTCAGTCAGTTAAGCATAGGACTTTGGCTCACATCATGATCTCACAGTTCGTGACTTTGAGCCCAATGTGGGCTTGCTGCTGTCAGCACAGAGCCTGCTTCGGATCCTCTGTCCCCCTCTCTCTCTGCCCCTCCCTTACTCATTCTCTCTCTCTCCCTCTCTCTCTCTCTCTCTCTCTCTCTCTCTCTCAAAAATAAACAATTAAAGCACTCTTTATATCTTTAAAACAACCCTGCAGGGGAATCATTGTTCTCTCCTGTTTATAGACAAGGAAGTTGAGGCTCAGAGAACTTGAGTTCTTTGCCCAAGTTCACACAGCTGAAAAGTGCTGGATAAACATAGGTCTTTGACTTCAAATTCTGTGTGCTCTTTTTGCAGTTCTGCTCGAGGGTGGGAGATGCATGAAAGCAAAGAAAAATCAAAGAAACAAATAGAGAAAAACACTGGGAGTACAACTAGAATTCCAAGCCAGGAGACATATCACTGAGGACAGGGGAAACCCAGCTAAGGGTGCTGGAGTTTGTGTTTGAAGACCTTTCTTTGGGGGCTATACTAACAATAATAAGAGCTAACATCTCTCTCTCTCTCTTTTTAAAATTGTTTATTTATTTTGAGAGAGTGTGTGAGTGAGGGGAGGGGCAGAGAGAGACAGAGAATCCCAAGCAGGCTCTGCACTGTCAGCACAGACATCAGGGCTTGATCTCAAGAACCATGAGATCATGATCTGAGCTGAAATCAAGAGTCAGACACTCAACGAACTGAGCCACCTGGGGGCCCTTAAGAGCTAACATTTCTGAGCATTTACCAGAAGACAGGCACTGTGATAAATGCCTCACTGTGATAAAATACTATTTTGTCTAAACCTTGAGACAAGCCTATATTTCAGATGTTTTTAGTATGTCCATTTTATAGATGAAGAAACTGAGGCTCAGAGAAATCAAGCAAAGAATCTACGGTTGTATGTCCTGGGAAAGGAAGTGTTTGGATTTGAACCCAGGTCTATCTAACCCCAAGGATGTTGTTGTTCATTTTCCAATAGCGATGCAAATGTGTCCTGGCTGTGAGGAAGGAGAGAGAAGGGAAGGCACAGTCTCTATCATGGGCAAGAAGGCATCTGGGGTCTCAGGCTGGGTATGCTCCTCTCCAGGGCTCTGGGTGAAGGGCAGCGATCGGGCGTCTCAGGCCCTGGCCCTGCTTGCAATCTCCTCACGCATGCGGATCATGGCAGGGAGAATACGGCCTCCACAGCCATGAGTAAGCTCCCCTTCCACTCAGAAGACAAACTCACAGAGCAGGAAACATTGCTTTTGCACATTCAATACTCTCTCTGTCTCTGTTTCTCTGCGTCTTGTCTCTCTGTCTCTATCTCTGTTTTTATCTCTGTGTTTCTCTCTGTCTTGCTGTATCTCTCTCCACATCCTCTCACACTTCACTTTGTGGCTGGGAATTGAAAGGCTCCTTGTGCTTTATAAACTTATGTAAACGCCTAACAACCCCCCCCCCCCGCGGGGACCCCGCCCCCCTCAGTTCTGGGCACCGCCGAGGCAAGTGCGCCCCCTGGTGGGGAAATGTCTCACGGGTCCTTCAAAGTTTGCCTCCAGTTTGACCCCCAGGAAACCTCTGAGAATGTGCTGATCTTGTGGGCTTCTTTTCCATTTTCTGCAAGTTCTAACTTGCATGTAGAACTGGGAAGAGCCACAGACACGAGCTGGTCCTGCAAATGCAGGACCTGAGCCTCACACTGGAACCCCAGGTACCTTGCAGCCTGCCCTCCTGGGAAGGATACTTCCAAACTCCACACAGCCTAGCCCAGGGGTTTCCAGTCCTGGCTGAACTGTAGTACCAGATGGGGACACTTACAACGTGCCACAGGCCTGGCTCCGCTGGGAAATCTGGGCACTGGTATTTCCAGGTGTGCCCTCCCCCTTGTCCTCGTCTGACCTCCACTGCACTGTGATTTGAACTGCAGCCAGGGCGGAGAACTATAGAATCACTTAGGGTGCTTAGGAAAGATGGGGTTTCCAGATTCTACCTTAGACCTGCTGGATCAGAATCTGAGAGAGGGAGGTCTAGAAACCTGCTTTCTAAAACGAAGACCTGAGGTGATTTTTATAAATCGTGAGGTTGGCAAAGCACTGGGAGACCATCTTCATCTTTAGGGGAAGGTGGTGGGGTCCTGGGAGGTGATGAGCCAGCCCTGGGCCTTGCAGCTCGTGGCCAGCTGGGGCCCGAGTCTTGGGGAAGCACTTCAGAGGGACCATGAGAGGCAGGGTGGTGGTGCCCAGGCTGTAGGTCCAGGCTGCTAAGCCAGAAGGAGGGACTCATTTCTTATCCTAGCTCTTTTCAGTCCTACCTCCAAAGGCACCCTTAGGTCCTCTCAGAGTCCTCCTCATCTGTGAGCCCTGAGGGTCAGATTTGTCTCTGTCTGGTGCTCCCCCTGACCCTCCACAGGGGCGGTCTGCTCTCTGGTGCCCTAAATTCCAGCTTAGCTCCCACCGGCCATGCCCCCTCATCCCAGGGTCTGGGTGTGACAGCCCCAATTCAAGAGATTCTGGGGGAGATGGGGTGTGGCCATAAGCCCCCTCCAGGGTGGGGAAGGCCGAGTCACATTTTTCTTTCTTGACAGACTCAGCAGCCACCTCCCCCAAGAGCCCTTGGTTCCTAGCGGGTGGGGGTGGGGGCCGCAATTCTCTGGGGGCCCCCACTGCCCCATGGACAGAGTTCCCTGTTCCTGGAGCCCTCTGCCTCCTAAATACTGGACGGCCCAGGGGAGATCTGCCCAAGCCCCAGTCTGACCACATTGCTGGCTACACACACACACACACACACACACACACACACACAGGTCTCCACGTGAGACTTACTTGGTGATCCTGCCTGATTTACCGGTACAAACACCTCCTACTCCTGAGAGTGCTGTGCTCCCTACGTAATAGCTTATGGCAAGGGGCCGGGGGCAAAGAATGGGTTCAAATCTGGGGTCCAGCACTGGCCAGCTAAGAGCCTTGGGACAAGCTGGCGGTGTAGAGTCTCTGCCATTTACTTCTTGTGTGTAGAAGAGTGTAGGCATAATGACAATGGTGATGCCTACTTCCCAGAGCTGTTCAAGAATCTATAGACAGTTTGGGAATGTACTCTGGAAATCACAAAGACTATAGGGACACGTGTCCTTCTTTGCTTAGTCACCTCTGTTTCCCTGCAGAGGCAGCCCCCTCTGTGAGGTTCTCCCAGGCCAGCAGCAACGCCCTTCCCCTCCCCCAGTACTCTGCTGCTCAGTCCAGCTGGGTCCACATCCCCATCCCAGCACTTATGAGCAGTGTGACCTTGGGAGTACTACCCAGGCTCTTTTGTGTCTGGGTTTCTTCCTCTGTACGTGGCATGGTAATAGTCCTACCTTCTTGGGTTATCACAGGATCAGAAGCGTCAAAACACGGCAAAGGGATGGCCAGGGATTCAAAGGGTGGGAGGGAAGAACGAATACCAGCACAAGGGATTTTTAGGGCACTGAAACTACATATGATAGTGTGATACATATAGTGATACATATCATTTATGCATGTATCTAAACCCATAGAACACAACACAAAGAGTGAATCCTAATAATGTACTAATGTAAACTATGGGCTTTAGTTAATAATAACGTGTCGATTTGTTTCATCAGTTGTAACAAACGTACCACACTATTGCAAGATGTTAGTAACAGGGAAAATTGAGGGGCGGGGTGAGGGGTAGATGGGCATTCTTTGTACTTTCCGTGTATTTTTCAGTAAACCTAAAAGCTCAAAAAAATCTACAATAATAAATCTATTTCATAATAATCTATTATAATAAATCTATTCTAAATAAAACAAAAAATAAACAGCGAGCCGCCTGAGCGGTGCGAAGCCTTGAACGGTTTTGGTGTTACCATCGCCTGATCATCTGCGCATCGTTAATGCGCCTGGTCCCGAGACTGGAGCCTGGGGCGCTCCCTCCTCTCTCTGCGTGCACCCAGCACCCTTGTAGCTACCGCCGTCGGAGCAAAGCATCCCGGAGGCCAGGATTGCTGAGGTGAGGGCGCCACCTGCTGGCCCTGCTCAAGTCTCCCCTAAAGGCAATGACCGTGGAGTCTTCTTCGGTGTTGTCCTTGGAGCTGCGAGTCCCTTGCTGCGCCACTCATGCAAACCACCTATGTCATGTAGCGATGTCCAGGCTTGTCACCAGTAACGACACGGCAAAGGTCAGATCTTGTGACTTTATTACAGAAGAGTCCCAAAGTGCTGGAGTGCAGTCTAGGTCAGAGCTACCTGCCCAGAGCCGAAGCAGGTGGACACTTCTCGGAGCGGACATCTCCGGGGACCCAGTCCTGCTTCTGGGGTAGTAGAGAGGGAGCCGCGCCGGGGCCCGGTCCGCACAGGTGGGAGCAGCGCGATTCCTAGCCACTTGCCGCGGACTTCTCGCTTTGGGCGCCAGCACAGGGGAGTCTTACAACGATGCCAAACACTTAACGGTGTGCCAGGAGTGTGCCAGGCGCTATTCTGAACATCTTACTGGGGTTAACTAATGCAATCCTCTTGAGGAACATAAGGAGGTAGGTACTATTATGGTTCTCCCCCACTGTACAAACGAAAGAGTGGAGGCACAGAGAGGCTAAATAACTTGCCCAAGGTCACACAGCCCAAGAAGGGTGGGACTGCGATGGGATCTCCGGAGTCCATGCTGCGTGACCCACCTGTGTGGCTGCCTCTCTCTCTCTCCTTCTCTCATCTAGAAACGGGACTATCATTTCCTCCCTGCCCTTCCAGTCGGCCTGGGGCTGGGGTAAGAGCCTCGAGGTGAACACGCCTCGTCAGTTCTACAGGTTGGGCGGGGGGCGCGAGCCGTCTCCGGGCCCTTCCGCCGCTGGCCAGACCCGTGTCCTCGAGCCGGGCCTAGGGCTGGAGCTCGTACTGCCCTTCGGTGGCCGTGTGGAAGTCCTCGAGCACCGACTGCAGGAACTCGAAGGTGGGCCGCTCCTCCGGCCGGCTCCGCCAGCACTCAGTGATGACACCGTGGTACAGCTGTGGCGGGCACGTGTCGGGGCGCGGCATGCGGTAGCCGCGCTCCAGGCAGCGGATGACCTCGGGGTTGCTCATTCCTGCGGAGGAGATGGAGAGCGAGGCTGAGGGCGGGGCCGAGGTGAGGCGCACAGACCGGCGTCCCCTCCCTGGCAGGTCACCTGGCTGTCTGGCTAGTGCCACCCCTAAACATCCCTCTATTCACTTTCCATCGCTTGGAGGACAGCTGGAGAGGAGGCTGTGGGGCCGGTCCTCCGGGTGGGGAACCCTGCCTTGCTTAGCTGGGACTTCCCCGCCGCGGCCCAAGCCCATCACTCACTGGGAAGGCACTTCATGACGGCGCACCAGCCCGCCCAGGGACACGGCTCTTCGGCAGGCGGCTAAGCTGCCCACGCCCTCCAGACACGGGACAGGGAGACTGGGAGATTTCACAGTCAGGAGAGGGCTTTGGGGAATCCACCCAAGGTGGAAGGCCAAGGGGGAGACGACCTGCCCCCAACGGAGAACAAACCAATTCAGGGTAAACTTGAGTTCAGACCCTGACCTGTCCTTACTTCCAGGGTTCGGAGGCTCACTGACCTCTGCTGAACAAAGGGCATGCGGCCCCGTTGCCAGAAGCAACGTTGAGGAAGGAGGCGGAACCTCCGTCCCCAGAGTGACATGCATGGGTCTCTGTTCGGACAGCGGGGACTCCATTCTGGCACGTGTGTGGGCAGCGCCAGGCACTAAGCATGGGATATCTGTCATCACAGCCATTTCAGGACAGCAGGGAGCCCACCTAGTCCCTACAGGATGAAGCCACCTACCTGGGTAGGGTACACGCCCGTAAGTGACGATTTCCATCAGGAGGATTCCAAATGACCACACGTCTGCTTTGATGGTGAACACCCCGAAATGGATGGCCTCTGGGGCAGTCCACTTGATGGGGAACTTGGCGCCTGTGAGAAAAGCCATGAACAGCTTTGTGAGGCCATGGCTGACTGTCCCTATGCACCTGCTCCCTCCCCTTGGCAGGGCTTGGACCACTGTATGCAACGGAGATGCTCCCAGAGAGCCACTAAGCCCCACTAGGACACATGGCCAGGCACGTGCAGACACTACTAGGGCTCCATAGCTCAGAAGGACAACGTGACACAAATGCCACCTCCATCACCCCAATTGGGTCATTGCCCAGTGGGCTTCAGAGGGCCACCAACATGTGTTTCCACCTGGGACAGAAGAGTCATTCTCTGCCTCATGTGTTTAACCACAGGAATCACGGCTTGGGCAAATCCCCTTAACTCGTCCCTGCCTCAGTTAATCCCTTCCTGCCAAATGGAAACGATGACAGATGACTCATGTCCCACCTAGGGTCCCAGTGAGGAGGGGATTCCAATCCTGCTGTCCCAGGAAGCCCTGTGGACGGCTGCAGCCCTGGTCAGCATTCAGAGTAAACTGCACAGCTCGGCACTGGATTTCCCCTTACCTCGCCTCGCTTTCTTGGTCTCTCCAGCCAGCTTGAAGCTTCCTCAGCTGACGAGCCCTATTGATCCTTCTCCCGTGCCAACTGATTAACATGCTCAGCTAATATTGCTTGCTTGCCAGCTTACTTGATCGATGTATTGGGCCGTTTCAAGTCCCCTTGGGAAGAGAAGCCCCACCTCGGGTATACTAAGGAACTAAAGCAGAGTGCTCTGTGGGAACCCTAATTCAGCTATAAGCGTTTGCTGCTCTTCCAAAGTGTGTTCTGCGAAAAGCTAGTTCTGTGGGGCATTGACGGAAAAAGTATCTCGGGCTCCAATTCGTTTGGGAGCAACCAGGCGAAGCCCACGTACGCCGTTCCTTTGCTGCAAGACTTCTCAGGGCCTTTCGTATGTTGGTGCGCATCAGGAATCTCTGAAGGAGGCCTTGGATGGACCATGCAGCATCTCCAAACCTACTTGACCCAAAACCATTCCTCTTAGTGCCCTGCAGAGCGCCTCTAGGGAAACGCTGATCTAGGTGGGTGTAAGGCCAGAACTGTGAAAACCACAAAGCTTCTCAGATCTCTTCACACAAGGCTCTGCCCTGTAGCAACGAGGAGAAGTCCAAGGGGGTTTAGGGAGGTGGGGAAAGTAAGGCCCAAGGTCTCCCTGTAGATGGGGGCTCTCCTCACCTTCTTGGACAGTGTATTCACTGTCAATGATGCGGGCCAGGCCAAAGTCAGCGATTTTGCAGCACAGGGACTCAGACACCAGGATGTTGGCCGCCCTCAGGTCGCGGTGGATTGAATTCATTTGCTCGATATACGCCATTCCTTCGGCAATCTGAGGGAACAGGTCGCACAGTGAAAGACAGCAGAGGGACCTCCGTGAGAGGATGGAGCCCACCCAGCGTCCCCTGCACAGCCCCTGTCAGCAGAGGAAGGACCCTGTCTGGAAGGCCAGCCTTCATCCTCTCACAGCCTGGAAGGGGCAGGAACGCTTGGGAGTGTGTGTCGGGCTTGTTGGTAGGTGCATAGAGGGTGGTTCTGCTGCTGGGGAAGGAGCAGCTCCCTGAGTGCAGAGGGAAAATGGCTTCAACCACTCCTCCGTTAGACAAGCCAAAAACTCCAGCCGCCTAAAAGCCCAGCAAAGCATATCTGCTGGTGTCAGAGCCAGAGAGACCTGAACCCCCACCCACTTCTCTCTCCTTGCAAGTGTCTGCAGGGGAGGAAGATAGCAGAATGAAAGCAGGAGAAAATGAAGGTCTCTCAGGGGGCAGGGGAAGAGGACAGGGAAGGAGGGAAGGAAAGGGTCTCATCTCCTTGCCACACTGGACTCCCTGTTCCTGGAGCGGCGAGCCCTGGATTGGAGTCCTTGACCTCCACCCCCGGAAGGTTGCTTAAACTCTCTGAGGGGTCACTGTCCTGACTAAGAATTGAGCGAAGGGGGCTCCAGGGTACGGAGTTGAGGTGAGCATTAGGTGGCCAAGGCCCTAACCCAGCACCGCCCGAGGCAGGCGCTCAGAGCATACGCAGAATCCCAGTGGCACCCAGGCAGTTTCTGTTTCTGTCCCCGATCGCCAGCTCTGGGCCAGGACTAGCCGCTTGAGTTGCTCGTGTGTCTTTTAGTGGAGGACACTCATTCGGGTTTTATCCACTGTGCTCCCAGTTGACGGATGAAGACACTGAGACTAGAATGCCGGTTTCCCTCCTCAGACCTGCTATCGCCAGGAAGCCAGCACTGGAATTTATCCCACTTCTCCCTTTGTGTCTGTTTGCATTGGTTTATTCGTGAAGCCATTCACTCATTTATTCTTTTGCTAAATCATTCCATCAATATACATTTATTGGTATGGTTCTGGCCAGGGGGCTATGAAGCTGAATACCAAATGCCTGGTATCTAGACAGCATTTACTGGTACTCATCCCATTAACAAATATGTATTCAGCAGTACCAGAAATGATTTTTTTTAAAAAGGTTGAGAAGGACCCAGACGTGCTTTCGAGGAGAAGACTACACGGCGCTCCATGCCAACAGAAACGCGTGCACCAAGTGCTCTGTGCCACTTTCCCGTCCAGGGAAATTTAATTTAATTTAACTTAAGTCTTGAACACCGATCAGGAGTTTGCCAGATGAGTTTGCCACTGATCAGGAGAATGCCAGGGTTCTGCCCAGGCATTCTGAGCAGAGGGGGAGCCTGAGCTCACAGGTGTGACAGCACGTTTGGGACCTTGGTGACTCTGCCAAGTAGGGCACGTGGGTGGTGGTTGTAGGGGAGGTTTGCACTACATCCTGCAAAGCAAGAAAAGGAGTGCCCAGAAGGGTAGTGTGTGTGTGCACGCATGCATGGCGAGGCGCTAGCATGATGAGAATGTGGTTAGAAGCCGTTTACCTGGAAGGTTCTGATTTTCTGGTTTCCTAACCCTTAGATTCTTGGCCACATCTAGGTCTAAATGCAGGTGGCTTTTCATATCCTTCGTCCCTTAGTGATCCAAGATTTCTCCAGGGATTGAGAAAGAGACAGAGGAGAGCGAGAAAAGGAAAAGAAAGAAAGTAAAAGAGGTGGACAGGTTTATCACTGTTAGGTGGTTCGAAACTGGTTAGCAGCGTGAATTTTCCGAGACCACTCACCAGCTTGCTCAAACCCATCTGTGCTTACCTCAGTGGAAAAAGGGCATCGTGACATCAGTTCCTGAACTGATACTAATAGCAGATGATACCAGATAAGGTGGAGATGGGGCGGTGTGGGGTGAGGGGGAGGTTTCCTTTCTGTAGCCGGATGTGTGTGTGTGTGTGTGTGTGTGTGTGTGTGTGTTTATGTGTCTCACAGGCTGACCACAGACCAGAACTTTTCTGCTGAGGGTCCCAGTTTTAACAGACATACACACTCAGGGCCACCAGATGTGTTTTCCTGCCAGTTAGAACCCTCAGCTAACTGAGGAATCCTCGGGGAGGAAAGATGCCTCCTCTCCATTTTACTCTTCACTTCATGAAGTCTGGATTGTGATTCACCTGCTGTAGAAGGCATTTCTGGGCACCATCAGAGGAAGAAATGAGGTAACAGCAAAACATCTGCCTACAGTGTTAAATGGGATTCATGTGAACGGATGGGCTTCCCACACCATCCATTCTCCCTCTCTAGTAATAGGACTCACCTCATCCCATCCTGGCTGCACAGAGTAGAGACTACACTTCCCAAGCTCCCTTGCAGCTTAGGTGTGGCCAGGTGACATGGTTGGGGGGGGGAAGAGGAGGGTGTTAAAGCAAGTATAGTAGGTGACTTCAGGGACACGTCTCTACAGGGAACATGGTGGGCTTTCTTCCCCCTTACTTCTTCCTGCCTGCCGAGGAGAGGACAAGATGATGAAGTGTGAAGAGCCGTCTTGGACAATAAGATGACATATGCTAAGTACCCAGCAGGTGGAAGAACCGTGTGGCTTTGAGGGGCGGACCCACCTACCTGCCCCAGACTGCCCACCTCTGGATGTTTATGCATGTAAACCATTATTGCTTTGGGTTTTCTGTCCTTCACAGCCCAACTTAAATTTAATGGATACAACCTCTAAATAGCTGACTTTGTTAAGCCATAGGGCACAGAGGAGAGGGCCTTGGGTCCTGGGTCCTTTGGGGCATCACGACTCTCGGGAGCCGCTGCCCTCGGTAGCTCACAAACCTGGGCTGACATGTCGATCAGTCTCGGGAGGGACAGTCGGCTACCTTCATCTGTCTTCAGGAAATCCAGTAAGCATCCTACGGAAAGAGATGTGGCATCTGCCCTTCTGCAAAATGATCCAAACCTGGCTGTGCCAGCCTCTCCCAAGCGTGGAATGCTCCCCACCTGGTGTCAGGAAGTACGGGGCGCCCTGTCAGATCTCTAGTACGTCAAAAGAAACCCACCCATCGCTGCAGAGTGCTTTCTGCTTTACAGAAATTCTACCCACAGTCCTCATAACACCTCAGGGGGCAGCAAATGTATTCCCAGCTGCTCAGAGGAGGTTGGGTTTCATCCAGGTTCGGGATCACCCAGCCAGGGAACCAGGTACGGAACCTGCTCTTTGACTGTAAGTTCAGTGCTTCCTCCTCACGTGACTTTCCAAAGTGTCTCCTTGCCCCCTTCATCCCTTGTTGGTAGAGATTCTGCCTCCGAGGACCAAGGGGGCAAGAAAATGCGAATGGAGAGACCTGTCCCTGGGGTTTGGTGCAGGAGACCAATGCAGCTCCTCTTTGGCATCTAAGAGCTGGGAGGGACGGTCACCTGAGGTGGGGCTGAGAGGTGAGCAGGGGAGCCATTGTACTCCCAGCTCAATGTGGGGTCCCCTTCACGACGATTTCTAAGGAACTGTGTTATCATGGCACCTTAGGATCCTATAGGAAGCAATGGGCAATCAGGATCACAGGAAGGGTAGGAAGGAGGTCACAGGCTGAGGCCCGACCCCTGGCCCACTGACCTATGAAACCTTGACCCCACCATGGACCTCAATGGCCAGCTGGACCAATTTCTCTTTTCATCCATGTCAAATGCTCATATGGTTGTCAAAGGTCCCACGCCTAGTAAGTGGCAGAACTGGGACCAGAACCCATGTCTGGATGCCCGGCTCGCTACTCTTTGCGATGCTCTGTCCTCCCGAGTGGGCATCAAACAGTGCTGGGCACAGAAGATGCCCTCCAAAAGTGTGGATTGAAGTGCTCCTGAATGGAGGACACAGTTCTGTAAGAACCACTGACCCATCTTGTAACTGATCATCTGCCCTCCTGCTCCCCAGGCACACGGAACAGAGTGGACGTTGGCTAATTGCTCCAGCCCGTGGCCGAGTGATCCCCCATGGAGATCCCTCGCCGGCAGACCCACTGTGGCACACCAGCCTCACCCTTGTCCGCCCCTCCCCACCCCTGAGGGATGCAGCCCCACGCAGGGCACCACCTCTGGCCATGTACTCGGTCACAATATAAATGGGTTCCTTGGTGACCACGGCGTAGAGACGAACAAGCCTCTCATGCTGGAGAGTTTTCATCAGGTTGGCCTCACCCAGGAAGGCCTCCGGAGACATGGTCCCCTCCTTTAGAGTCTTGATGGCCACTTTCACGGTGTTTTGGTAATAACCTGAGCACCGGTAGGGGAGAGAATAAAGAAGCCATTCAGAAGACCCAGAGGTTGTGGAAGGCGATCCCTTAACCAAAATGTACATAAGCTTCCAGGATCCCTCTTCATTCTACAGGTGCAGGACTGAGGCCAGAGCTGTCCCCCTAGGAAGAAGCCCTGGGCTAGAATGTACAGCTTCGGAGGGTGAGCTGGCTTATTTGACAGGATGCCAGCCTGTCTCAGCCTCTCGAGCTCAACTGGAACCTCAGGCAGTTAACCTCAAGAACTTACCTTGCCTGGGAGGGGACCGTTTTACCTTTGCCCCGAGGGATAAAATAAAACACGGTCTTTTATAGCCTGATAGTGCCCATGGTGAACAGGGGAGTGATCATCAACTATACACACAGGAACCTGAAAGTTAAGTGACTTGGCCAGAGTCACACAGCCACAAGCAGTGGCTTGGTCTATTGTCAGACCCCTGGAGCCCCTGGTTCACTGCTTACTATGTTTAACAGGTCATTTCTGTCTGGCAAACCAAAGCTAAGAGGAGATAGCCTTATGTTCAAGTTCACACACCTGTCAATTGCAAGCTAGCCCTGGACAGTGAAGAGTGAGTGAGGGAACCAACCAAGGTTTTGGGAGAGCTGGATTCTATTCCTGCTGCATCATCACAGTGTCCTGAGGGCAAGTGACTTCAATGTCCTAGCCTGCCATTCATTATCTCATCTGTAAAATGGGTATCATGGCCTCTGTCCCTCTCCTGAACAAATGTTTTGGGGAAGCATGATGAACTGTGCGTATCTTGAGCCTTCTGTGCTTCGGGACACAGGGCAGGGAGAGAGAGGCTTCTGGCTGCCACATACTCACCCATCCAGACTTCGCCAAATTGCCCAGACCCGAGTTTCCTGACCAGCTTGAGAGACTGCCGGGGGATTTCCCATTCATCTTGGACCCACAGGTCTTGGGAAGCCAGGCTGACACAGGGTTGGGTGAGCCTCTGGCATAAGCCATCCCCTTTCTCTGCATTAGGGAAGAAGAGATGGGGCTGGAGGTTACCAGAGCAGCCAGATCACATGTCTCCCTTGGGGACCATGTCCTTCCCAGCTGTGTGCCCCTCTCATTTTTGCCAACTATACTCCCATTTCCAAGTACACATGTGCACGGGCACACACATACTACACACACACTCAGCTATTTGCGTTCATTTTGTATAAAGTGAGGCATGCTATCATTAACCTGCTCTCTCTAATATTGAAAATACTTGTTATTCTCCAAGTGGTCACATGCTGAGCCAGGAGAGGGAATTAAGGACATAGACTTTGAGTAATTATGTTGACATTTGTCCAGCCTTGGGATAATCCACCCCCCCACCCCCAAGATGGCACCAGTGAGTCACATGATCGTGAGATCTTAGTGATAGATACAAGGGGTCCTCTACTCCCCACCCCCACCACATCCTCTTCTCTTACGAGAATAATGTTGCACCAAAGCCTGGAGAGTGGGGAAGGTGATGCGGGGGGAGATGTAATAGCCCCCTTCATCCAGGGAGCGGATCTTGTAGTGTTTGATCACCTCCCCCTGGGTGGTCACATCCTTCACAGTCAAAGAAAAGGCACCTAGACGGGTAATAGAGATACACGAATGAGAAGTAAGGCATACAGAGGGAAAATCAGGATTGGGATTTGGGCTTCATTTCACTGCCACTGGAAATTCTGCTCCCCTTCCACCATAAGTTACTTTTTCTTTCACTTCAATCTCAACCCTCCAAAAAACCTTTACTATGATCTCCACCCAACTCTGACCTTGATATTCCTCCCCCAATTTCCTAAAATTCAGTCATGGGATCACAGAACTCTGGAGCAGATAGGATATTCTCCCAGCAAACACGATGTCCCTCACATGGGCCCCTGGTCATTCGGGGACACTTTGCCATGGACTACTGAGAAATGTAGAGTTATTGGAGGGACTAGGGGGTTGATTGATTCATTGATTCATTCGTTCATTCATTCTAGCTGAAAAGGCTGACCTTACCTCCACAAGCAATAGCAAATCCCAACCTTGAAGCACTCATGTTTGTGGAGGAGAACATAAGCAGCTATTTACTGGAGTTCTGTACAAATTTATACAGACACCTATGCATTTTGTCGTGTACAAGGGGTAGCAGGTGCTAAAAGTTAAGAACAATTTAGGAAGCAAGAGTTTCCAATGGAGAAACTTCCTTTCACAAACTTGGTGTTTTTATAAAATGCCTCTGTCCAGCTCTCCGGGTACCACACCTGCCACTCTTATGCAGAAGATGAGGAAACTGAGGCCAAGAAGGGGAATGCTGCTTGCTCCTGGTCACTCTGCTGGTTAGCAGCAGGCTTCAGGGCTCCCGATCCTCCCTGAGGACGTGTTTACCGCAAGCAATACCACTCTGCCCCGCCAGGTGTCAGGCTCGGACACCTCTTTTTCCGGTGTGGACCCTTGATTTTTCACTGTGCTGTTTCCATCTCAAACCCCCTTTCCCTCTCATCTCCCTTAGGTATCACACCTCTCATCACCTACTTGCAAAAGGATGCAAGATGTGTGCACACCTTGCTGCTGCTAAGCCCATTCTCTGCCCATGACACCAGCCCCAGCCCGAGTGCTGCAAACGGTCTCCCCCATGCCCCTTGGTAAGTGCAACTGTGCCCCAGTATCTAAAAAACCAGAGAGTGGCTCTAGTAAGTTCATTTATCCTCGCGTCACCCTAGCAAGGAAAAGGGTCTTTCTCCTCATTTTGTCAGCTGCACCCTGTGTAGGCTGCATCATAAGTAGCCAAGGAGACCCTGCTTTCATCCACATAGGACTGCTCTCCAAGCTCGTGATTTGGGGCCTCCCTCTTGCCCTGGTTCATCCAACAGCCTGCCCCTGGTATCTTTTGACAGATCAGTGTTCTTCTTAAAGGGGACCTCCAGATCCAATCAGCTTCCGGTTCAGGCTTCTTAGAGATTGAGATTTCCTTTTTTTTTTTTTTTAAAGTTTATTTATTGAGAGAGAGAAAGAGAGAGAGTGTGTGGGCCCTGCGTGTGGAGGAGGGGCAGAGAGAGAAGGAGAGAGGGATTCCCAAGCAGGCTCCATGCTCTGTGCAGAGCCAGACACGGGGCTCGATCTCACGACCATGAGATCATGACCTGAGCCAAAATAAGGAATTGGATGCTCAACCGACTGAGCCACCCAGGTGCCCCCAGAGATTGAGATTTCTTAACACTGGCAGAACTGCCTGCCTTCAGACAGGGAAACTAGTTGGTCCTCATACAGATATGAATAAACTGAGGCTTGAGAGGTTAAGGGACGTCCTGGAGGCCACAAGGGGCTAGAATTCACTTCCCTTGCTTCTGAGGGCAGCATTCCTTCCCTGCCTGGCATCCTCTGGCTGTGGCTTTCAGATGCACTTGTTTTGGAGTTCTGAGAAGTATGTGTACGTGTGTGTGTGTGTGTGTGTGTGTGTGTGTGTGTGTACGTGTGTGGGGGTGGTGATGCTGGGATGGTCCTCAGCTCCAGCTCTATCTGGCCAATTTCCAGCTTAGACTAGTGTGGACAAGGACAGGAGGGGATACCCCTACCTTTGGAGAACCCCCTCCTCCGTACTGAGGTCATGAGTCCCTTTCTCTCCACTGGGCACCTTAGCAATAGGAAATGATTAAAACATCATTTCCAGGGTGAAATGACAGATTCTGGAGCTTGCTTCAACATAATAGGGATGGGTGGGGATATACGTGAAGTAAGATTGGCTGAGTGATCATTTGTTGAAACTGAGTGTTGGGTACCAAGGCTTCCATTATACTATTTTCTCTGCTTCTGTATATGTTCGAAATATTCTACAACCACAAAACATTATGTCATCTCCAGTGATTTCCATATTGTTTTTTGATCGTAGGTGCTTTGCTGTTAAAATGGAATAGTGGCAATATCTTAATGTGTGTGTGTGTGTGTGTGTGTGTGTGTGTGTGTATAATTTAATGCATCCATTGGTGCATTTCCAGAAATTCTGCACAGAGCACCCAACTTACCAATGCACCCCTCCTTCTCCTCAACCTGACCCTGACTCCCTTTTTTTTTTAAGTTTGTTTATTTATTTTGAGAGAGAGAGAGAGAGAGAGGCAGAGAGAGAGGGGGAGATAGAATCCCAAGCAGGCTCCACACCATCAGCGTGGAGTCACATGTGGGGCTCAAACTCACAGAAGCATGAGATCATGACCTGAGCTGAAACCAAGAGTCGGACGCTTAACAGACTGAGCCCCCCAGGCACCCCGGCCCTGACCTTTTGAAGGGCTGGGAGGCCTAGGGATCGCCCCTGAGCCTCACAGGGTGTAATGAGCATCTCTCTTTGTCCAGCTTTTGCGGCTCTGGTGCTTTCACTCGCCGCATTTCTCAAGCCATGAATGGAGCTGAGGGATGAGTCCGGGGTGGGGATGGGGGGTGGAGGGGCTCCCACTACCCAAACCTGTCTATTCTCATTGTCCAACCACAGGGTATCCACTAACAATCCAGCCATCCTCTCTCACCCTCCTCCTCTGATGTCACTGTCACCACCTCCTTTCTCTCTAGTTAAAAATTGGCCACGAGGACGTCATAGGTCCCTATGTGCCGTATCCTGATAAACAAATGATTACTTTACACATCTTGGGAAATTCCCTTCCATCACCCCAGGTTAGGCCAGCTTGACACATTTTAGAGCCGTTTTTTCTTTTTAAAATTTTTAAATGTTTACTCATTTTTGGGAAAGAGAGACAGAGAGAGAAAGAGAGAGAGAGAGGATGTGGGGGAAGGTCAGAGAGACAATCCAAAGTGGGGTTTTCCAGTGACAGCAGAGCCCAATGTGGGGCTCAAACTCACAAACCATGAGATCATGACCTGAGCCAAAGTCGGATGCTAAATCGACGGAGCCACTCAGGCGCCCCACATTTTAGAGTTTTTGAAGCCTCTTAGATGAGTTGGGATCTGAGCTTTGTTCACTGTAGGCCTCATGTGAGTCACTTCCTCCCTTAGGGACTCATTTTCCTCATCTTCCAAATGGGGGTATTGGCTCAGCACCCCAAAGATGGCAGACATGTACCAGGAAGCATATATATATTAAGGTTCAGAGCAACATGTTCACAACAGCCCCAAAGTGGAAACAACACATGTCTACCAACATTAAAAAGGAGGAATAGCTTATGGAATATTAACATGCTGGATTCTGGAGAGCAGTGAAAGTGAACAGACTATTGTCATACTCAACAACATGAGTGGACCTGTTATGGGCTGAATTGTGACCCCCCCACCCCCACCCCCGAATTCTTACGTTGAACTCCTAACCTCCAGTACTCAGAATGTGACTATATTTGGAGATGGGATCTTTAAAGGGGTGACTACGAGGCCATTGGGGGATTCTAATCCAATATGATTGGTGTCCTTGTAAGAAGAAGAGATTAGGACACAGACTGAGGAAAGACCAGGTGAGGACACAGGGACAAGAGGACCATCTACAAGCAAAGGAGGGAGGTCTCGGAAGAGATCAGTCCTGCTGACATCTTGATCCTGGACCTCTGGCCTCCAGCCCTGTAGACAGTACATTTATGTTGTTTAAGCCTCCCAGCCTCTGGTACTTTGTTATAGCAGCCTGGCAAATTAATAACGAATCTCACGATGCCAAGTGCAAGGAACAAGACACACACACAAAAAAATAGTACTATTCCACTCTCATAAAGTTGAAGAACAGATGAAACATGGATGGTAAAACTGTAAGGAAAACCAAGGAAGGATTTCCCCAAAGGTTGAGATAGCAGTGACCTCTCTGGGGGGCGGGGGGAGGGTTGTTGAATACAGAAGGGGCACAAGTGGAGCAGTGAGAGGGGTTATGGATGTCTGGAATGTTCTCTCTCTTGTGGTTACACAGGCATTTACTTATTACGACTCTGTATGTATAATTATGGACTCATTTATGATTTATGCAATTTTTATATGTTCTATATTTTTTTTTAATTTTTTTTTTAATGTTTATTTATTTTTGAGACAGAGAGAGACAGAGCATGAATGGGGGAGGGTCAGAGAGAGGGAGACACAGAATCTGAAACAGGCTCCAGGCTCTGAGCTGTCAGCACAGAGCCCGACGCGGGGCTCGAACTCACGGACCGCGAGATCATGACCTGAGCCGAAGTCGGCCGCTTAACCGACTGAGCCACCCAGGCGCCCCTATATGTTCTATATTTTATAACAAAAGGAGCTTTAAGATGGAAAGAAGGAGGGAAAATTAAATGAAAGACAACGAGAAAGCCCAGTGGCCTGCGGATGGTGGCAGAATTGTGTCTCTCAGTCAGCGGGTTTGAATCCACGAGTGCTCCCAGTTCTCCACAATGGCCACCCTCTTCCTTCATTTCCAGCCACAGGCCATTCTGCAAACTTACGTTATCTTCCAAGCTCCTGGAAGTGTCTGTGGTCGCAGCGTTCGGCTGAGATTATCTCTAAGGAGTCTCAGCTCTCAAATCCTTTGATTCCAAATGTGGCTCTGGGTTGTGCCCCTTCTTCAGACCCCACCAGCCTCAGCACCCCCGCTGAGCCAAAGATGGTGCGCAGTGGCCCTGGGTGGAGACAGCTCTCCAACTGCACCTCCTACTTGCACCCTGTACATTTCCAGCCTGGCCAAGGGACACCTGTTGGCACTGAAGCCTCACACTCAACTACTAGGCACTAGATGGGCTGTCCAGGCGGGGCCTGAACTGGAAGGGAGACCAGAGGCCTGGAAGCCGCTGGGCTCTCCTGGCTGGTGTCTCCCTCCCGTCCTTCCCTCGCAGACATAGCCTCAGGTCGGGGTTCCCGGGGACCACACAAGAAGGACATGCTGGGCGCCATGCTTACCTTTGTTGGTTTCACTCTCTCTGATAAGAAAGGAGCCCGCCTTATTGATTGGAGCCAGAAGCTGCCTCTCAGCATCTTTCCGGCTAATTGATCTAAAGAACCACCTGAAAAAGGAAGGCAGACCAACCTCAGAGGCTGGTCATGCTCCGCAGAATATTCTTTTCCAAACCTCCCTCCTAAGCCGTATGCCTCACCCCGAAAAATAAAATAGTGTCCTCCTGTTTTCGACTTAACCATGAACTAATAACACTCCTCACATCTTGATTCATGAAAATGCCCCTTGGTCCCTGTGCCTCTCTTTTCTTCTCACTTCCCATCAGGGGATGGACTTACTATTTTCTTGAAATGAGAATGTTTTGGGGGGTGCCTTTTGTTAATTCTATTCTGGGAAAATGCACCCAACCACCATCCCTTAAAGGACACCTTGAGGTACCCGGGTGGCTCAGCCAGTTGAGCGTCCGACTTCTGCTCAGGCCATGATTTCACAGCTTGTGGGTTTGAGCCCCGCATCAGGCTCTGTGCTGATAGCTCAGAGCCTGGAGCCTGCTTCAGATTCTGTGTCTCCCTCTCTCTCTCTGCCCCACCCCCATTTGCTTTCTGTTTCTCTCTCTCTCTTAAAAATAAATAAACATTTAAAACGTTTTTTCTAAAAAGCACACCCTCCTCAAGGTCAAGTCTCTGAATTAGACAAAGTGCTGAGACTCTCAGAGCACAGATTCCTGCCGTGTTCCTCTCAAGCCTGGACCAATGTGGAAGTGCCCATGGTCCCACACCTTTACAGCTTTCTCAGTCCTTGGGCAGAGTCAGGCTCTGGGTACTGTTTGCTCAGTGCGTGCTGTGTGAGGGAATGAATGACTGAGGCCCTGACTGGCTGAGGTAGACCTTCCTGGTGTCGTGTGGAAGTAGGTTATGAGGACATTGGGGAGCACTGCCCTCTGTAACCCAATTCTGAATGAGGTCACCACTCTGTGAGCCCCCGTGAGGTCTGAGCTCCTGAGTCCTGCCCACTGGAGGCTTTGGAGGAGAAGTGCTGATCGCTGTGCCTTGATGTTAGCTTTGCGAGGCCATGGACCAGGAAAGGGGCCAGGAAAGGTCCCATTACACAGATGGGAAAAGTGTGCTCAGCACGGCGGGGTGGCTCCCTGAGCACCAGACACCAGACAACACCAGACACTCAAGATGACCTGAGGGTCATCTTGAATGGTGGACAAGTCTTCCCCAACAATCCCAATTCCCTTTCCCTTTCCTGTCCCCTCTATTCTGGGCTCACAGAGGTTCTCTTTTCACCTCTTTTGGCCCCCTCCCTGCCCAGCAACCCCCAGAGCAGCAGCAGCAGCAGCAGCAGCAGCAGCAAGCAAGCCTCTGCTTTTGAAGGGCCTTCCGATGGTCCACCTACTTTTCCACCTCCAGGGTCTCTACTCGGGCCACAAAGTTGCTGGGCACGTAGCCTTCTCTTCCTGTGATGAGAGACCTGGCCAACCACCAGTCTCCAACTCTACGGAGGAAGAGGAAAAACAAAAATGAGATCGTGGCTGCTGCGGGCCTCTCCTAGGGGGCAGCCCCCAGCCCTCCTCCCCCCCCCC